ATAATAATAAACAATATTTATACAAATGATAATATTTCCATAAATCCTTAATATATGCCAATTTTTTATTGATTTTATTGCAATTTTTACTTCAACTATTTTAAATATTTGATTTCTAAAATTTTCTCTTCAATTGGAAAAAAAATCATTTATTTGATTTATTTTGAAAAAATTTACTTATCATTTCATTCATTATATGCACAAATCAAATGTTTAAAAACAATATATAACCATTTAATTTTGAACTGACCGAATACGAAAATTTAATTGTGTTTAATGAACCGAAATAATTTCTGCGATATATTGCGCGAATGTCAAAATTCGAAAATACATAATATAAAATTATGACATTGAAACATAACTGCCGCGTACACGCCAAACACAAACAATAAATATTTTAACAACAACAACAAACAATTTGCTTAAAACGGAAAATTAATTGATTGTCATTGTGTTGAATGCGCCATTAACGTACATATTACTTTTAATTGTTGTATTTGGGCAAAATGCGCTGATGTCGCCAATCAACCACGAAAATATTTAAAAAAATTATAATTAATTTAAAAAATATGATAAATTCAAAAATTGCAATAAATTTTAAATTTGATAAATAATTACAAAAAATTAATTATTTATACGAAATTGCTAACCGTTATGTTACAAACAATATAATAAAACGACAATACAACACAACAATATACACAAACACAAATACTCACACACACACTACAAAACTCACCTGTGGTCGCCTTGGCATTGCAACTGTCCGACCGACGGACACGTTATACATTGCTCTTAACAACAACAAACAGCACCATCATTCGACCACCAACATGCCGTCGTCAGCTGCCGTCGTCGCTGCCGCAGCCGCTGCTGCCCAACAGCAGGCCGCCCAAGCTCAGGTCCAGGCTCAAGGCACAACGCAGACGAATGCCGCCAATGCTGCTGCCGTCGCCGCTGCCGCTGCACTAGCTATGGGTGCCGCAGGCGGTGGTGTGGGAGCGAGCGCTGGCGCTCATCATGCACAGCATCATCATCATCATCAACTGGAAGTGGGCAAAAAACGTGCCGCCGCGGACAATGACATGCTACAACTGGTATTTGTTCTACTACTTCTTCAATTTGTGTTGTTTTTGTTATTCGTTTCTATTTTTTGTTTTTCCTTTCATTTAACTTCAATTAAATTTATTGCGTTGCAGTAACATTTATACATATATATTTATGCAGAAATATTTTTTCCATATTGTTGTATTTGTAAACGTTTTGTTATTGTTTAGTTACTTAATTTTCGAATTAAGTGAATTTAAGTCTTATTTTCATCAAAAACTTATTTCATAAATAAAAAGATTATCATTAATTAAATAGTTTTTTAAATTAATTGTCATTAATTAATTCAATTTTCTGTTAATTTTATAACTTTTACTTTTTTTTGCCAGAAATAATCTCATAACTTACACAAGTTCACCCATTTAAGCATTTACTTTGCATTGATTTGCCAACTGGTGTGTGTTCGGCATAGCATACTTTTCAGCGCATGCTCAACTGCTTTTACTGTATCTTCTTTTGCCTAAAGCTTAAAGCATTTTTATTTTTCAAATGTTTTATTTTTACCCCTTTCCCTTCAATAATGCTTATAACACAACCGATTTTTCAAATGCAAAGGTGGAAGCTATGCAGTTCAGCGGTATATTTAATTATAATCCAAAAAAAAAACACTTAAAAAGATAATAAACAAATATATATAACTATTTGAAAACTCGGTTTAAAAAAAATTCTCGAAGCTTTCATACTTTTTATAAAAAGTCGACTATTGAGCTTCGATAAGCGAAAGCTTGCTCAAGCCGTATAAGTGCACCACAACACTAAAAAGGCATTTAACGTATTGGAAATATTAAAATAACGAGCGAAAGCTCTCGTAATAAAATTTTGTGGAAGTTCTAAGCTTATACAAGCTAACGCTGCTAAGCCGTATTTGGGAAAGATGTGCTTAAAACTTTGTGCTTATTCAATTTGTTTAGTGCTTTAAACAGAAATAATGTTATCCGATTGTTTTCTAAATTATTACAAAATTCTTACTTATTATATGCTAATGAGTATCAACTCTTACTAAACCGATAGATCGTCCCTTAATAGAACATAATCTTTCAACTTGCCAAAAACCTTTCGCTAACATTTTACATAGATCCTCTCTTAATACAATATAAGCATTTAACTTACCAAAAAGCCTTCATTAACACTTTTACTCATAAACGTTCGGAAAGTTTTTCAACCTAATTAAGAGGTTTACCTTTAATGTATTAGCACATCAAAATTGACGAAAATATTGCACCTGCATTGAAGTTGTACTGAAATTGATGCTTAAACTATTCTTCAGGCAGGAGTTTTAAAAGCGAAAATCACAAGCTTTGAGATCTCAATAAAGTGGTGTTTAAATGAATTATGAAATTTTAAACCTAAACACAAAATTGTAAACAATTGTATGTCATTCAAAGCAGCCCCAAAAAAGCTTCGCAAAAATTTTAAAATAATATTATACTGTAAATAATACAGCTCTCTTAATTACCGCTCTTTTAAACAATTACCCGCAAAGAAGAATGCAGGTTAGTTTACAAGTTTGAAAGCTTTAAGCTTAATGAGTAAAAGCTTTACTTCTTAATTTTCTTTTCATATTTTGCAAATTTTTGTTGCCGTTTAGTAAATTATCAACTAAGACATTAGTGTTCACATTCATAAACAGCAACAAGCACCGTAAAATACTTTTCCAAAAACATTTAGCGCATACATATAGTAAAATTTTGTTTTTTTTTTAATTTTTTTTTCCACACATAACGGCATTAGTTATATAAAATACATACAGCTCATACATACATACAAACAAACATATGTACGTTTCTATGCGAGTATACATATTGTAGTTTACGTAAAGCTAGTTAATTACATAATAATCTATTTATAACCAAACAAACCATCAAAAATATCACTTAACTAATTTTATGTGTTTTCTTTCTTTCTGTGTATTCTTTTCTTCCTCAACGTTTGTTTGCATCATTTGCGTTACTACACAATGTGTGTGATTATTTGTGTTTTATCATCAAAAAACAAATAATAATAATAAAATAAAAACAAAAAATATATAAATATATAAAAAACGTGTACCGTCTTCTAACAACAACCATCAATCGAAAATGTTAAATGAAAAACCTATAAAAACTCTTAACGATGCCACTTCAATGCCTGCAACTTAACTACTTTTTGCCAATGCAAACATCACCACCATCACAACTATTACTACTACCGCTAATACTACTACTACTACTATAAAATCTACTCTGCCTGCATCTACCACCACTACCACTGCCAACTGCTCCTTCTGCTGCAATGTGTCTTCACTGCTGCGCCAACATTTCGGCTGAACGCCCTTCACCTTCTCCAATTTTATCGCAATGAAAAAAATATTTACAAAACAACTCATTAACATTGCACATTTGTCGCAAACCACAAAAAAAATAGATGGATGTTAAAACGGTTGGTTCATTTTACTATGAAAATTTCGTAAGTACTAAACCCGCATTTTTGTGTACCTTTGAAAAGTCCTTCTTACAAGTACAACTACATATCTATGTTTCGCTTACGTTCAGTTATACTCACTTTTCTCAAATGGAAATATACTTTCTAACTAACTTTTTTACTCTTTCACGTTGTTGCATACTTTATTTGGACTCTTTTTGTGCATGCATGAATATTTATTACGAAATTATTTATTTCGATAACACGTAAAATAATTTTTTTACAAATAACAAAAAAAAGCACATAAATTTGGGAACAAAGCATACTTATATAAGCTTTGCAAATAGTGAAACACAAACGCTTTAAAGCTCCAAAGTCGAGGAAATGAGAACCCTTATACCTTTACAACTCACTTCAGAGCTTTAAAGCTTAAAAAAACTCCGCTCTAACTTCTAAAGCTTTACAAGTATATAATTCACTACTTTCAAATAAAATCGAAAAATTTCTAATTAATTTGAAACAAGCTTCGAAATTGTTTAAAGACTCTTGAATAAAGCCGAAAATTTTATATTAAAATAGTATATTAATAGTATTGTGTAGCTTTCAAAAAGACGAATTATTTAATATAAAGGTCTGAAGTCGATGGAGTAAAAGCTTTTGAGCCATCAGAATTACCAAAAAAATTATACTTAGAATTTTCCATATGAATTGAAGAAAGCTTTTGAAAGCTTCATATCTTTTAAAGCGTTAAAAAGATCTGCTCCATCAGTTTCAAATAAAATCAAAAATTTTGTTTTGAAAAAACTTGTGATTAGTATTGTGTAAGATTTAAAAAATTAACTAAAGTTTAAAAAGCTTTATTTCATCTGATTCAAATCAAATGCAAGTATGTCGTTAAATAATGTTCCTCCTATAATGGTTTGTAAAAAAATCAATAGTGCCACTTAATTCGAACTCGTTAAAAAAGGTGAAAGCTTTCAAAAAATACTTCCAAAAAGCAGAAATCCGAAAGCTTTGATTTAGCATATTGAATCCTAAACAATAAAAGTGCGCATTCCTAAAATAGCTAAAGGAAGTATCAGTTTTCCAAAGGTACTCAAAATTGCATTTACATATACTTAATATTCTGCAACCTTATTTATAGTAACTTGACATTTTTTTTTTTCATTGTAAGCTTTTACGCAAGCGTTTAATCTGTTAGTAGATAAATACTGCAAGCTAATTTTAATTGTTTAAAAGCGTTTTGAAATTGTCGTTGTAAATATTGTATAATTAAGTCGAAACTAGGTATATTTGAAAAGTAAAACAGTTAAAATTTATTATTTTTTATTGAAAGAAATTGAAGTTAAAGTTCATTTTTAAATATTATTTTTAAATATAATGTTGTTTCTGATGCATATCAATTCAATCTAAAACTTTAAAAGTAAAGCACATATGCCTCAAATCTTTACCAGTTTGAAAACGTCTACTTCGCTTAGCTAAAAGTAATTATGTTTTTCAAATGTACAAGTTCTTAGTACACCAGCGAGCTTTCATCGCCAGCACTTTGCTAACTAAAGCTTTGACACATTGTGAAAGCTTTGGTGATTATTATTTTCTTTAGTTATTTACTTATTTTCTAGGCCTGTCATATTAGAGCTTGTCCCCTAAACGCTTTGCCATTTATTTACTTCAAACGCATATATATACATATATATAATATTTTAAATGTCTTTGAAAGCTTACTTTCATATTTGCCATTTATTTCGCCGTATGCACACCAGCCTGATCACATGTTAAAAAAACATACTATACCTAGCTTTAAGCCAAAACGCGCTCATGCCAGCTTTTCGCAAAGCTTTGAAAATTACATTTTTAAGCAATTCTAAGCTAGCTTAGTTTTAATGTTCGTTTAAAGCTTTTATAAAAAACTTAAAAATTTTCAAATATATTATATACTAATTTTATTTTGCTTTTTCCAAACTTTCTCTTCATTTCTCTCTCTCCCTCTTTTCTCTCACTCTCTCTCTCTCTCTCTCTCTTTCTGTGTCTTATGTTCGGCGCTATGTCACAACAGGCTTTCTCCGGAATGGTACCGTTCAAGCGTCCCGCTGCCGAGAAATCCGGTATTCCAGTGTATCAACCCGGCGCGACCACCTACCAGCAACTCATGCAACTGCAACAGCCGTTCGTACCAGTGTCATGTGAGTACCAATCTCAAAATGGTGGGACGCCATTGAGCGCCACTACCACTACCTCTACTTTGAGTACTTCTACTACTACTACTACTACCAATATGAATCCATATAATGCTACTACTGCAACAGCAGCAGCACAAGCAACCGCCGCCACAGCAGCCGCAACAACAACAACAGCGGCGGCTACAATTGGTGCCGCCACATTTTTAGGTGCTAGTATCACAACACAACAACAACAACAACAGATTGAACAGCATCACCACCAACAACAACAGCTACACAATCAGCAAATGCAACAACAGTTGCATCTGTTACCGCCACCACCACCAACCACAACCACACYACCAACAACAACAACTGTCACTTCCAATTATCATTTACACCAACATTATAGTAACAATAGCACCCTGTATAAAATTAATAATAACAACAATATCAATAAAAACAAAGACAATAGCAACAACATTAGCGCTCTAACAACCCCACCCAAATCCAATTCCCCCTCCGCTAGCATACATTCGACCCCAAACACAGATTCATTGCAAATAACAACACCAACATCATCACCATCCGAAACAACAACAACAACGGCAGATGTTAATAGTTTGTATGAGTCAAGTAGTAGTAGCACACACACACAGGCTAGTAACGGTAATCACAACGGCGATCAAGACGGCAATGAGGTGTCGTCAATGCTCCCGCCAACATCATTGTCGTCGCCAGGCGGCGCAACAACAATTTCGTCAGCGTATGTGCCATACAACAATGGCGATAGTAATTTGGCTAGTAGCAACAACAACAATAATAATAATAATAATGTATTATATGTGAATAATAATATTTTGAGTAACGGTAGTAATAAGTTAGCTCCCACAACAACACCAACAACAACAACTAGTGCGGCAGCAGAAGCAGCAGGTGAAGATTATGATGACGCTGCTGATGGCAACGATGCTGTCGCGCCAGCAGCTGTTACATCAGCAACAACTTCAGTAAGTAGCAATTCGCTCTTCGCTGCCTCTGCTGGCGCACACACTTACGACACCACAACAACAACAGCAAAATCATCGGCACTAACAGCACACACAGCCAATGCTAGCGCTAGTAGAAACGATAAAGACGCTAGTGAAGATAGCAATAACAACAACAGCAACAAACCCTACTTTAGCAACAGCAAGTACAGCTACAACGCTTCGGCTAACCCTTACAGCGTCGCCAATTCACCTGTCAAATATGCCACACATAAGACATCAAGCGCCGCCGCCAATGAGGCAGCTCACTCCGCGTATGCCGCCTACGCCTACCAAGCACAGGCAGCCCAAGCCGCACACTCTCATGCGTCCGCGATCGCCTCATCCACTTATCCGTCCACCAGTTTGTCCAACGGCGCACACAGTGACACACAGTCATACAGCGTCTACAACGGGCTTAATGGACATGCCACCTCAGTCGCCGGCATATTGCCGACTCCCCATTCAGCTGCCGCAACGGCGGTTTCCGCTGCCTCTGCAGTTGCCTACCAGCAGGCACATCAACAGCAGCAGCAACAACAGCAGCAAATGTTGCGTCTCTATAATCAATACGCTGGCGTACCCACCAGCGCTACCACGTCTTACGCCAATTTGCTGGCTGCTTCGCATGCCGGTTATGCCACACCCACAACCACTATGGCTCACATGTCGGCGGCAGCAGGCATGACTGTGCCTTCGTACGCCGCTGCCTACGGTATTCCCGCTTCGTCGGCAGCTGGCGCAGCCACTCTGACGCCCACATATGCCTACAGCGCTTATGGCAGTGCCACACCCACCGGCTATTATGCCGATGCCAGCGCTCTAGCCAAAGAGGCCGCCCAAAAGTACCATGCCAACGCTATAAAAATGGCTGCCGCGGTCAATGCTAATCAACTGAGCGGCAAACCGCTTACTGCAGTTGCCGCTGGTGGTATGGCCGGCTTACAGTTAGGTAAGGCTTACATGACCGCCATGCCTGGTAGCGCTAATGCCATAGTTGCCCAACAGCAGCAACTCTCGCTCTTACAGGCACACCACATCGCACAAGCGCAGCACGCCGCCGCTGCAGCAGCCGCTACTCGTTCAGCGCTAGCGGCGAGCTCACTGTCCAGCTCGGGCATGTCAACGCCCGTCGGTACGCCGGTGCATACGCCCACTCCTGGCGTGGCCGCGAGCGGTCTGCTAACGCGGCCCTCTTCTGCTGCTGGCAATTATATCAGCGCAGCTACATCTCATACCGCGCTGCGTCCGCAAGCAGTGCAGCTGACTGCCGCACCTTCCGCCAGCAATTCGCCGTACGCGGCCGCAGCCGCAGCGGCTGCCATGCAACAACAGGGCTTCTTCTACCCAGCTGGCATGATGGCTGCACCCGCGACACCGGCTTATCCGTATGCAGCGATCGGTGGCATACCGACTGCTATGCCAACGGCAGCTGGTATGCCAACCGCGCTCTCTGGCATAACCACCGCACCGGCAAGTGCGGCGGGCAGTGCCATGGTGCTTAATCCATACAAGAAAATGAAGACCTCGTAAGCAGTTAGTTTTTTGGAGGCGTTTAACCATACACGCGCACAAAATCCCTTAGACTTACAATACCAAACGGATATGACAAACTAATTTGTTAGCTAAGTCTAGCATGCAAGGGCAAGGCGCTGCGTTTCATCCTTTTTACTTAAACATGAGAGTTTATTCAAAGCTTTTATGGCGGCGCTTTACCAATGCATTTGTACTTAAAAAGCTACTTAAGCATACTTTGCAAATACGAAACAAAAGTATCACAAGTATGTACATTATCATTTGGACTTACAAACAGACAATTTTAATATAATCGTGCCTACTTTTTGGGTATAACCTAAAGCGAAAGCTGTCATAAGCATTAAAAAGCTTAAATACATGTTAGAAATAGAGTTATAAGACAAATAAATAAAATGCATCACTACGAAGTAAACGAAAACTTTAAAAACGCCCATAAATCCCTTACATCAATATTAAGCTCCACATTGAGCTTTCACGCATACATTGGAGTTTGCATATAAACTTAAAATTAACTACTGAAAAACAGTAGCATTTTACTTTAATGACTTACTTATTAGGCGGCACTCAAATTTTACATATTTGTTTTGTATACAGCAGCTCGCTGTAGAATTATTTAACAAAAAGCTTTAAGTTGCCATACAACATGAGATTTACCATGTTTATGAATTAAGCATTAATCCTGCTTTAAGCAACAAGGTTAATACAAGTAGCTGTTATCAGTTGAGCAGAACTTAAAGCGTAATTTGTCAAAGCTCACGAGCTTTTAATTCAGCAAGTTATGCTTAACTGTAAAATCCCAGCCTAATTCATGCCATTATAACTAATTATATTCTTGTAGACATTAATTTTCGGTTTTCCGTTTAATACTTTAAGAATATTTTATTAAAGCGGAGTGTGAGCTTTTCAAAAAATTAATTTTCTTCCAATATTTTCGTTAAAAAATTAAGAACAACGAAACAAAAACTATTAGGATAAAATTAATGCTCTGTTGGTATTTGTCATATTTTCGCACAATTGCATAGAAGCTAAAAAAGATTTGCTAATGTAATATAAGCTTTCACAATAATTCGTACAACTAACGAACTACTGCGATAGCGCGAAATTTATAAAACTTTTTTCGAGAAAATATGTTGCAACACTTAAGTTAATTAGAAATTTACAAAAAAGCTTTTTCAATATGAGTACTTAATTGAAAGCTGAATCAATTAACGTATTTCAGCAATACGCTAAAAAAATCACATGACAATGACAATGTTAAGCCAAAAGCCAAAACTATTGATAAAACGGCATTTTACTATCAAGAGCTTTCACAAATTTTTATAAATATGCAACGTTTTTATTTTACCTACGTTCCTATGTAGCCATAAAATGCTTCAGATTATGTTTACCATGCTCCTCCAATGATGAATAATGATGAATCGAAGCAAAAATGTATTATATCCCAGTGGTTTTGAAATGAAAGCTTCTTACAAAAGCGTTTACTATATAAATGAAGGCAACATTTTTTAACAGTAGGTGGCGCTGTAGTAGTTAGCAAAAATAGCAACGCAGCTAAACAATAAGCACTAGAAGTAGTCAAAGCTGCACAAGCTTAATGAAAGCTCGACGCAAGTAGTGAAACTTTTTTAACTACTTATATAGTACTGTATATTTTTAACAACCTAGCACTAGTTTCGAAACATTGCTATGAAATAAATCTGAGAAAGCGTCTTTAAAGCTTACGCTCTCTCTCTTACGTCTCGTTGTGCCCACCAAACTTCATTTACGCAGTTGACGCGTCTCTTTGAAAGACGCTAGATTTTTATTTTGTTGCAGTGACACTGTTAATAATTTTCTTAATTTATAATATGTATATTAGCTGTAAGTAGTTTACGTCCCAGATTGTGCTGTGTATTATCTATATATACACTCACGCATACATACAACTATTACTCTTTCCCTCTCTATCTAGTTGCCATGCTCATTCGATATATAACTCTCGAGGGTTATTGAAAGTATTTGTACACATATACACGTTTCAGTTCGAACACTGCCGCGCCTAGCAGCGCTAGGAGTATTTGCACAAATCTCGTAAACATTTGAGCATATTTCTCTACTCACTAATAGTTTTTAAGTCACACTTTCCTATAAATAATTTATTTATTTTTCAACCGTCAATTGTTCCTTCAATTAACTTAAGTATATGTTTGATGCAATACATGTACAACAACAAATTCAACGAATGTGTGTGGTGTGAGGGCAGCGCTCTCAATACGCCATGCGCTCTGCGCTCATTCGCGATACACTGCAAAAAATTTATACGTATGACTTACTAACCATTTTTACTAGCGTAGTTTCTTGTTTTGTGTGTTATTTTTAAAGCATTCAATATAGATTCGTGTAGTTGTTTTAGCATTTAGTTATAGTCTAGGTGTTTCAAATCTACAAATAATTGTTTTTCAATTAGTATTAGTCGTTTGGCAAGCAATTATTAAAGAATATTTAAGCATTTACATTGGTTTTCTTAGTTTCAAAAGAACTATATGTGCTAGTTGCTATTATTTTTTTGTTTTTGTGCATATTTATTACAGTTATTTGTTTAGATCTTTGCTGAAAACGCGTTTTGTATTAAAAATATATCTTTTTTATTGTAATTTTTTTATTAATTTGCTAATTTTAAATAAGTTTTAAATACTTAGATCTCTTGTGATTATTATGCTTAATTTTTTTTAATAACTTATAATTTTTTAAATTAAATATATGTTTATGTATTCTGTAACCGTTACTACCTTAATAATTTTTATGAGCATAATTTTTGCATTATTGAAAACGTGAAATCCAGTATACTTGTGTTATATTCTTACGTCGTCTATTTAATTTAATGGAATTTAATTTCCTTTCTACTTCTTTATTGTAATAAAAAGCAGCAAGCAACGTCTGCATATATTGCCAATATTATATAATTATTTTTCCTACTGCGCACTTTTCATATAATTTTAAAATATTGTTAATGTATTCGTATACAATTTTACTTTACCCAGCTTCAATTTCAGTACTTTAGAATCTATAGAATTGTATTTATAAATGTATTTATAGTCTAGCTTAGCCTGCTTACTTAACTACTCACTCTAAGCAGCCAACTAGCCAATATCTACACTGCGCCTTGTTGCTATGACACCGACTCTCTCACACTCAAAGCGCGGCACTATACTCAAAAGCTCTCTAACACGGAAGCACACTCACTCCCCACAGCGTTACGCTCATATTCGCTTAACATACTGACTCTCTCACACTCAAATAAGCGCTCTCATAAACATTTTGTCACACCATACTGTATGCATACACAAAGCTAACGCTCTTGTGCTCTTGTGCGCTTACTACACACGAAATATCAAAAACTACTGACTATAGTGCGCTTTCTCTACCACTCACTCATACTACGTTGCTATGTTTTGACTGTACACTGGAAAAAATTTGCAGATAATATAAATTTTGTTTTTCACAAATATATGACAACCATCAATGTAACGTTGAAACGAAAACATCGCACACAAAACATAATGCTTGAAGTTTCAAAATAAATATATACCGCTACATAATTTTAAAAACAAAAACCAAAAAATGTTATGCAAATTTGTAAAATAACTAAATACAAATTCTACATATAAAGCTGAGCAGCGATGTATTATCGTAAAAGCTCGTGTGCTTTACTATCTGGTTGGCGTACTAGTATCTAATTGTTACAAAAACAATATAATATGAAATATATTGCTATCTACCTATAAATCTAAATCTATGCTCTAGAAATTTGTTGTATTTATTAGCACACGCTAAAGAAAAATCTTCATTATTTTTTAACTATTTCCCTGTATGTCATATTATTTGGTTATAAATATTATATTCATATACATATGTATGTATATCTATGCTATTTTTTTTTTTTTTTTTTTTTAATAACTAAAAACTTTGTATCACTGTTAGTTTGCCTTTTTCTCGTCTATTTGGGAATAAAAATATAAATTATATCATTTGTTAGTATATGTAAAAAAAAAACAAAAAACAAAAGAAAAAATAAGAAAATTATACACTAAAAATATTTTAACTACCACTGACTACTGTTATTATTAATAAGTACATATATTCATTGCTATTGTAATTTTATGTTTTTAATTAATTGTTTGTTTAACTTGTGAAAATTATTTGGAAAATCAATTTATGTATATTTAGCTTAAAAAAACAATTGGTATTTTTTGTTTGGTTGCTTAATATTGTAAAAGCTTGAAAAGGCTCTCCATTTAATTGGTTGAATATTTTATTCTAAACTTCTACTTTTAATTTGCTGTGGTTTTGGGTGAAAACTCGCAAGAAAATCTATCGTTTGCTTGTCCTATTTGCGACGCTCTCTTTACTTTTACACTTTCTCTTTTTTACGTTATATTATCTCCTCTAAAGTCTTATAAATTGCACACGTTTCTACAAGCATTTGTGTCATCATTGCTTCTTTAGTTATGATTCTCTCTATATGCATTAATTGCTTCATTAGCATTTCATTGGCACGCTCACTTGCGTGCTGGCTTCTATTTAACTATGTGTAAGTAATGTATGCTCTTATTTTAGTGCCTTCATTTTTCATACTCATTTTTTATGCATTGATAATATATGAATATTTAGATCTCTTATTTGATATTCTCTCTTGTCATTTAAACTTGCCAGCAGCAATCTATTTATTATACTTGAGATAAACAAAAATTTTAGTTTTACTATCTCAGTTTTATTTAGTTAATTTGTATAGCTATTTGGAAGATCTATAATTATTATAGCATCTTCTTTCACTTCTCTCAATAAGTTTTATCTCAGTTTTATTTAGCTGATTTTTACAGCCTAAGTATTGGTTGTCAAAAATTTTTGCAAACTTAATACTTATTCTGGGATCTTCTCTCACTTTTCACAAGAAGTCTTATATTACGTCTTTCATACTCTTAGACAAATTCTGCAAGGAACTATCGTCGAGAACAACACCAAAAGTGATTAAAAATCATATTACTAAAAATTATTAAAAATCACATATTCAAATTATAATAAAAGAACATACTATATATGTATTTTTTTAACTTCAAAAGCTTTTGCCTATGCTCTAAATCATTTCATTGAAAGCTCACTCAAGCTGTTGCTCAAAAACTTCCATACTTGAAGCTTACTGATCTTTTTTGTAGCATACTTTTAGTGCTAGTCTTAAAAATGTTTCACCAATTGTGTATTTAAACATGATTTTTGCCTTTTTCTTCTTCTTATTAATAATTTTTAATTATATAAAAGCTATATCATTCATTCCAAATTAACGCTTTTGAGCTTTTACGCTTCCTTGTCATTCTATCATATTAAACATGCTTTTACTAATTTACATATAAATTATCCAAGTTGGAAACAGTCTTCCAAGAAAAGAAACAGCTCGAATATTGGGTTTAACAGAAATCTGCAAGCTTAAAAGGAATTTGATTTGTACAATTCTTCCACACAAAAAACTATGAACCTATATAATCATGCTGCAGCTACAGCTATTGTAATTTCTAAAAGCTCGCAAAGTAGCTTGAGATCGAAAAGCACAAAGCACATGAATACTCCAAGCAATAAAAAAAGTTTAGCTTTAAACCATTCCCTATTGCTTTTTATATATGTATGTTTCTAAGTCTAAGTCTAAGTCTAAGTTTAATGACATCTTTTAAATTAAAACTGCCTTTAAAAAGTGTAATTTTTCCCTAAGTAAGCTTTTACTTGATTATTTATTTTTATTATAATATTTAACAGCATAAAAAAATTCTGGCTGTGCGAGAGATTAGCAACATTTTTTTTTTAATTTTCAACTTATATGTATATGAAAAAATTCGTGGTTTTGAAAAAGCTTTTTAAAATCATTTCCAGTATTTAAATTACTGGAAACTTTTTAAGTTTTTTTTCAAATCA